CTCTCTACCATTCCTTGCCTAATGCATGTCATTCTATGCATTGCATTATCTTTAACCAACCATTCGATCTGATTTGTAGTTATATTATTTCCATCGCCCTATAATTTCATAATTTGACTGCCGAAGTGCCTTTAACACATCAGTCAACAGGAATGTAGGGATAAGTGAAGACAAATAAATCTACGAAGATAACCAATCACAAGCATGGTCATTAGGATAAATTGATTAAGCGCCTGTTGAGTGATTGAATAGCTCACTCCTACAGAGAATTAAGAGCCGGTGATACTGTCGAGAACGACAAAACTAGATTTGCAATTATTAAACCATCTAAGTCGGAGAATACAACAACACCAAAAATATAATCTTTTTGATAAGCAATAATACATGCGTAAAAAGTGTTATCAGTGCCTAAAAAAATTCACAATGGAAGAGTGAATTAATGAAAAAAGAAAGCAATAACAGAAGAATGAAGAATCCAAAAAAGTTGTTAGACGGTCTTCGATAGTCACTTATTCACAAAAGGTTATGTAAGTGTATAGAAGTAAAAAAAGAAGCGTATAGATGGGATTACAGGGACAAATAACATAAAAGTGACAAGCGAAAAAAATATCACCGTTAAATAAAACTTGAAATAATTCAACAACAACAAAAAAAGAACACACCTTCATTACCAAAATACCCTCTCATTTAGCTGACTCTAAACTTAATCAAATGACCAAAATGTTTCTATGCATAAAAAAATATGATGAGCGAAATGAGTGGTAACCGGAATAAGGTTCTTCTTTTTTTTTAAAAAAAAATCAATCAATAAATCAATAAAAAATGAAAACAAATACAGAAAGAATAACCGAAAGGAAATAGTAAAAAGTAAATAAATTCAGTTGTTCGATTTATGGAAGTCCTTTATTATCGTTATCATCATCATCATGATAAGTGTTCTTAATTTCTAGAGAAATAAGAAAATTTTGTACAAAAGTTATCATTAACAAAAATTTCATCTATAACTACAGTGTGTAATACTCCATACATACATGCACACACACACACACGCACCACAGCATGAACTACACTATTTCGACCTACTATTACTACTACTACTACTAGTACACATACACAAACAGCATGATAATATTGAAAAATAATAAAGAATGAAAATACATGGGTAATTTATAACGACAAGAACAATAACAAAGGGGAGGGAAAGAAGAGGAGGCAGGGGGAGGGAGGGAAATGCTCAAATTGTGTACAGTTTAGTGTATTTTTTTCATCTTCCATCTTTCCACATATATGTATTCTAATATGAAATGATATAATTTCATTTGCACGATGATGATGATGAGAATTATGATGACGGTTCATTGAAAAAAAGGGATCCAATTGGAAAAAAAAATATTGAAAAATACAAAACAAAAAAACAAACAAACTATAAAATGAATGAATGCAAAAGAATAGTTCACCAGTTTATTATTAAGTAATCATAGTCTGGCGCATACACAATAAGAAAATTTCTTTATGTAAAATAAATTTGATGCATTTTTTTAAAAAAAGGGGGAAAAGTAGATCAGAAAAATGAAAGAGTGTTATCTTGAAAATATGGGGTATTATGTATAGATATATGAGATTTCTTTTTTTTCTCTCCCTCTATTTCTCATGAGTATTTTGATCGTTTAGCATATTTCGGAAGCACATTAGGCGAGTTTTGAGATTCAGCTGTTTGTTTTTTTTATGAAAAAGTGAAAAATTAAGAAAAAAAACCTTAATGAAAATGATAGAACAGAAACTATTTTAAAACAAATAAAACGTCATTAGATCCAAGTTTAATTTTGCAACTATAATGAATTATGGACTTGATATAACGAATGATTAAAGATATTCTTCTCTCCCTGCAATATACACTATGATAATAATAGTTTGGGTGATCGAGTTCATAATACTGTTAGATTGGACACTCCAAAAACGGCACACAATACAGAGACTAGATCATATTATATCAAATACATGATTCATTACTAGGAATAGAGAACCAAACTAAATGCTATAACAATACTTTATTTCACCTAACTATAAGCGAACACTCTTGGTGAATCCGGAGTACAATTCAATGAGAGGAAAGGAAAACACATGTTTAATAGTCAGTAAGCTATGTGCTTGTTTGTTCATACTCTGTGACCCATTGTTTACTTCCATCACCACAACGTCACGGTTTGAATCTCGCTCCACTCAATTTCAGAATTTAGACAACTGCTTAATGCGTATTATGTTAACGCTTATGAAAAATATATTATATAAACTTATGTACTTTGCAAATGAATTAAATTATATTCACCCGGGAAGATCACTGGATGATTTGTACAATTAATCTTGGTAATTTTATTCTAATCTTATAAACGATGTTAGTTAAAATGATTTAATGCTTTGTTTAAGATGACTGACTGATTGTGTACAATTGCACAATTACAGATTTCAAAAGAAAATTACAGTGGAATTCAACGATCACGATTCACCTAGTTTCACTTGAACATTGTCATATTGAAAATGGGATTACTAGCTGAAAATCCCCAAGTGGGATGAAAAACGCATGCCTTATCTTCCACTACTAGCTTTAATTCATCTATATTAAAGAATACATGAACTAAAACACCGCTTTGTTGGATATTCCATGACGATTTTAAGATGATTATGTTCCAGAGATTAATAAAGGATGAATGTAGATATGACAGAGACTAATGACGGCTTTATTTATCCTTGTTATATAAACATTCCCATTAAGAAATACAACAGTCTGAATAAATGTATGTATGTCGAAACCCATTGGACACAAACTGGGCAACAAAGGTTAGGTACAGGAGAGATGCTGCTGTACTCCGGTCACGAAGGGGAAAATGCTTTACACACTCAGGGAGTTGCTCTAATGCTGCCCAAAGCAGCAAGAAATGCACTTGTGGGATGGGAATCTCATGGACCCAGGATAATGAAAGCATCATTCAGAACAAAGAAGGAGGGGATCACAATGAACATTATCCAATGTTATGCACCCACTAATGATAGCAACGACGATGATAAAGATCAGTTCTATGAAAGGCTGCAATCAACTGTAGCAAAGTGCTCACGAAAGGACCTCACCATCCTGATGGGAGATCTAAATGCTAAAGTTGGAGTGGACAACACAGGATATGAAGATATAATCGGACGACATGGACTAGGAGAAAGAAATGAAAATGGGGAGAGACTTGCAAACCTATGTGCTTTCAACAAATTGGTTAAGGGAATATGAAACAACTATATGATACAACGAAGAAATTAACAATGAGATATAGAAAACAAGAGAGACCAGTCAAGGACAAAGAAGGAAAGACAATCACTGAGATTCAAGAACAGAGGAAAAGATGGGCAGAATACTTCGAGGAACTGCTGAATAGACCAGCCCCATTGAATCCACCGAACATCGAAGCAGCCCACACTGACCTTCCAATAGATGTTACTCCACCAACCATCGAAGAAGTCAAGATGGCCATCAGACAAATCAAAAGTGGGAAGGCGGAGGACCTGACAATATACCAGCAGAAGCACTGAAGTCAGACATTGAAATAACTGCAAACATGCTTCACCTTCTATTCAAAAAGATTTGGGAAGAGGAACAAGTGCCAACGGACTGGAAAGAAGGATATCTCATCAAGATACCAAAGAAAGGAGATCTGAGCCTATGTGAGAACTACAGAGGTATCAGTTTGTTATCAGTACCAGTAAAAGTTTTCAACAGAGTGCTGCTGAATCGGATGAAAGACGCAGTAGACGCCGAACTAAGGGATAATCAGGCTGGATTCCGTAAGGATCGGTCGTGCACAGACCAGATTGCGACACTACGGTCAGCTGACAGATGCATTTGCAGTAAGGACCGGAGTCAAACAAGGCTGTCTACTCTCCATTCCTCTTCCTTCTAGTGATTGACTGGATTATGAAGAATTCGACATCTGGAGCGAAATACGGAATACAATGGACAGCTCAGAATCAATTAGATGATTTGGACTTCGCAGATGACCTAGCCCTCCTCTCTCATACACACAAACAAATGCAGATGAAAACAGCAAATGTAGCAGCAGCCTCCGCATCGATAGGTCTCCACATTCACAAAGGAAAAAGCAAGACTCTCAAATGCAACACGGAGAACACCAACCCAATAACACTTGATGGCGAAACTCTGGAAGAGGTGGAAACATTCAAGTACCTGGGGAGCATCGTTGATAAACAAGGAGGATCGGATGCAGATGTAAAGGCGAGGATTGGCAAAGCAAGGGCAGCATTTCTACAATTGAAGAACATATGGAACTCAAAACAACTCTCAACCAATTTCAAGGTCAGAATCTTTAATACGAACGTCAAGACAGTCCTACTGTATGGAGCTGAAACGTGGAGAACTACTACGACCATCATCAGGAAGGTACAATTATTTATAAACAATTGTCTACGCAAAATACTCAACATCCACTGGCCGGATACTATCAGCAACAGCGTTTTATGGGAGAGGAGAAATCAGCTTCCAGCTGAAGAGGAAATTAGGAAAAGACGTTGGAAGTGGATCGGACATACATTGAGGAAATCACCAATGTGCATCACGACTCAATCCCTAACTTGGAATATTGATGGGAAGCGGAAGAGAGGAAGGCCAAAGAACACACTACGCCGGGAAATAGAAGCCGATATGAAAAGGCTGAATAGTAACTGGAAAGAACTGGAAAGGAAGGCTCAGGGCAGAGTTGGATGGAGAATGCTGGTGAGCGGCCTATGCTCCTCGACGAGGGGTAACAGGCGTAAGTAAGTAAGTAAGTAAGTAAGTATGTCCGTATTGCTCAAGCATTGCTAACAACAAATATATTATATGTATATCGTTGTAGAAAAGAAATATAAGTTGCAGAACTATTAGAATAAGATCCTCTTGTCGAACCCTACTCTCTTTGTCTTCTATCTCCAATAAATGCTTTCTATTTTTGTTTATTTTATTTCGGTGTCGGGTCATTTTTAGAAGATAGTAATTAATAACTTGTGTAATTATCATATTCTACTATGATACTTTGATATTGCCTTTATAATATATCTTCTAAATGAACGTTTGATTTGGTTTCCTAAGCTCTTCTAGTAAACCATAGACTAAATCCAAATGGCAGCTTGAACACAAAAGGCGCGAAATATGGAAAGAACGCTTTACTCCCAAGGTTCCTTTATGTACAGAAAATCTAGGTTATTTATAGCATTTTAGATGGCCTTGGGCTCTTGGAAATTTTTGGAGCGCTACGGAACATAGTAACAGGATAAGTAATCATTCGATCAGAAATGTGACATGTGATTTCTCACTTTCTAGAGGTTCCTGATAAGCTTCAAACAAATGTTCATTGGATGAGATGTTTCTCAGAGTTTTCAGGGCTCCTCTTAACTTTTTTCGAGGAATTTTCTCGGTCTCCCCAACACTTAACATCAAACATTAAATTGTAATAACCGAAGACGGGTAATTAAGAAGATAATAATAATAATATCATGAGCCGATCTAAGCTCGACCACGATTAAAAATCTGAAAGCACTAAACGGCTTTTTTTCCTTATATAGGACTCCTTCGTAGTGCTCATCTATGATCCTTTACGATGGAATTCTACCCTGAATCTTTTGCCTCGCCCAAGAACGCTTAACCTCTAGACCACTGAGTCGACACTCAACGAAGTTAATGTTTAGCTTCAACCAATCCACGATGTCACACGATCATAATCCACTGTTTTCGGTGCATAACTGCTTTACAACCGACACGGTTGAACTCCATTGGTCACGGCTTCTCACTAAAAACCTAGGTTTGCAATGATGGTCGAACTTGTATCGACTAATGATTTTTAGTAAAACTCAACAATCTCCACGATCTCATACTGAAAATAATAATATTCGACAAGTAGTAATTAAAGTATCATATAGAATGAAACATAAATATGTTATGAATAAGTATTGATCGCTAATGAAAAACAGTACATACATAGATAACCAGTGAACTAACTAACCACCTATGCATGCATAAAAAGTTAAAGTACTTTCCACTTTATTATGAACACAGAGATTTAAGTTTTGAACAAAATAAAAAAAAACAAATAGTAAAGTGTCATTTACAACAGCTAGGAAACAAAAAATAATAACCGATAGATTTCTTTTTTTTTTGTATCCAACTAGTTGTTTGTTTTTCTCTTTAAGCAATTTCATACAAACTCTTCCATATTTCTGAAAGAACAAAGATACCAGTTCGTTTCAGCTGCTTACAACCTGTATTCGTATAATTGTAGTACTAGTGTTTTTTTTTTCAAGAAAAAGTGACACGAATATATATACGTGTGTATCACTCTTTTTAGTTGATTTTAGGAATTTATTGTAGTGATATATATATATATGTCTATCAGTAGCCAGAGGTGAAAAGTTACGGAGTTGGAAGTGAATGATCGAATTACTCAAATCTTCCTCAATTCAAGGGATCATAAATTTTAAACTTATTTTTTAAATTAAAACAAGTGTGAAACATTTGTTTCTTATTAGCATAGATTGTGATATCTACACTATTCAAGGTGAAGTTATTCCGTCATCTTTCTTAGTGTAACTAATCATGTTCATCAAACATAATATAGTATTAGTGACAAATCTATATTGTCAAAAGAATTGTGACAATAACATAACATATTGCTTGCCATTAATGATCTATTTTGACATGGTTTGCAGTATCCTATAACAAATGTTCAGTTAAAATAATTCCTAAATCACATCACTTCGAATAGTGTACATACTTATTTGGTATTAAGTTGACTATAGCTCGAAACTGAAGGCGCATTAATTATAATTTTTGAATGATAATAATATTATTATGGGACAGCTTTATCTCTAATTTAGATAAATTATAATTAAACTTAAATAAGAAAGAGAACGTCCAGAATGTAAAAATTAGTAGTTAATACTGTTAATAATGGGCAAGATTTTAAACACAATACACAAAAAATAGAGAACATACATTCACAATAAGCTGAAACTGTATCCATATTTATACATGATGACTGACTAACAAGTACAGGTTGAGTGATTAATGAATTTTGATTTTCAGCATTTATATTCGATAATGACGATGATGGTGGTATGGACGTAGGTGTAGGAGGACTGTGGCTGAGAGGAAATAAAGGAGGCTCTCGAGATGTTGGAGGAGCTGGTGATAATGATAAAACTTGATGTAATCCTAACCGGTAAAATATATTGGCAGGAGAAAAAGTATGCCAAAGTGGGTGATGAGTATCTGGAGAATCTGTCGATGAATTGCCATTGTTATTGTTATTATTACTTCGATGACCATCTAAACGACCTATAATTTAACAAGATAAAAAAAACAGTGCAAAGAACTAGACTGAATGAAAACTTCCAAAAGAACGAGAATATAGAATTTTAAGGTTAAACAGTCAATGAATAGTAAGTTTACAGAATCATTGAGTGAAAAATGTTGAGATTATAGTAAGTAAAGGTAATAACTCAGTTGGCAAGGTTGAACATTCTCATCGGGTGAGGTGGTTATACTATGTGTTATGTATGTTTGACTATCGTCTATAAGTGGAAGCATCAGTCCAGAAAGCCACTGCATGTTGGTAGATGTAAACTGCAATTAATGGTTAGAGTCGTTGGATGAGGTAGTTCATAATCGATCAAAGCGATGCATTGATTTTTTACTTTTCTCTAGATCTTCAGTCCCAGTATTACTTCATTCCTAAATCTCGAACCATATTCTCAGTGATTAGTCTTTCCCAATATCGTTTTTACCGTGATTATTTCGACTCTTTTGCCATTTATCTTATTAATTTCATAACATTATATTAATGTGGGGATGGAAACTTGGACCAATGCACATTTGTGTTGGAATCTAAGTTGACTATGATTGACAACAACCGTTTCGTCCAAGTTTAAAGTTCTTTAGGAGTGGTGAGAAACTGCGAACTCACATAAAACCGAAACTACCACATTTATATCTTGCAACATGCAAAATACTTTCAGATTACTCCATGGGATTCAGAGGATTTAAGAAATAGCGTATTTCTAACTAAGTCTCATTATCAGAGGATAACTATTTCATTCCTGATACAACTAAGCTACGCAAGCCATGAATTTGTAATAAAACGTTGAGAATCCAACTCGAAGTTAGTTGCGAATGAGCATATGGTTATAAACTAAGTAAACCGTATTTGAAGATTATTCAATTAGTACGTAGTTCCTAATAACCAATAGATTTCAGATATCTAATACCTTATAAGTTGTCAATGACTCATAAATTGAAGTCACCGCGTAACGAAATTTGAACAACATTCACAAACAACTTATTAAAAATGGTAAATTAATCAGTAAATCGGTACTGAATATTTAAATCAATTATTGATAAGATGGAGGTTTAATCAAAATAAAATGAACAGTAAGACGTTTTAGAGTCGAATAGATGATAATACAAGTTATAATGAATGGAGGATTTCAACAGGTAATTCAATCTAATTTATTGAGAAAAAACGTTAAGACAAAATGACATGACAAATATGATTCTCTACAACGCCAAAAGAAACAGTCTTTATGAATGTTGGTAATGTAAATGATAATAGAATAAGGTAAATGAGAGACTGTTATTACAATCTTGTGAAGGAAACCTTTTGATCTGTAAAGTTTTATATTGTGCTCTCCAATCTTTAATTCACTAGGGGATGTATTAAGTACAAACTGGTAATTTGTAGCACTGTAATATATTTGATAAAGCTTACTTCGTCTTACAACCAGGTTACATTATTCTCACAAATTTTGTGGCTTCTAAAAGTTTTTAATTATTTCTAAACACAAAGTACAGGACTAAATACTCAAAGATAACATTTATATTACTAGTTTAAATTGTTGGTTTTTAAACAAGTCAATTTCTTCTATAATTGTGATGTAAATTGTTTGGGATTTGAACCAATTCCCATCTACAAATTAAGCGGGGAAATTAGTGTCAAAGTTAGCTTTAGAGAAACACTGTTGCTGCTTTAAAGGTCACAGTCTATTGAACGTTGAAAACGAGAAATTAGGAAACCCGTTCCAATAACTCCATACACATTAAAGAAGCTAGTGGTTACTCGAACACAGTAGCTCAATGGATAACGCAATGGCCATTTGAATTGAAAGATACTAAATTCAAGTCCAAATGTGAACAACAAAACTGACATACAAGCATAGTTAATTAGTGAATATCAAATATGGTGAAACAGGTCCTGAATTACACTCTACTAGCCCAACACATGAAATATACTGAAACCACTTTTTTCTTTTTCATTTAAATCTAAACAACAATTTAATAGATAAATAAGTCAAACAAAGAAACAAATTAATTTACCAAGTTCATTGATCACTTCTGGTGTTGACAAAAAATATCCATTTGGTATGCTAGTTTGTCGTAAAACTGTCGAACTACAAGTTGATGGTAATTTCAAATGTTTCAATGCTGGCATTCTTTTTTGACGTGATTGACTTTGTGACTGTTTTTGTTCTTCTTGCTGTGGATTTTCTTCTTTCATATTTAATTCATCACAGGAATTTTGTGCAACATTTTTTTTGCTGTAATTATTGTCATCACTATTACTAGTAGTAGTAGTAGTATTAGTAGTACTAGTACTGTTTAGATGATTGGTATGATTCATACAACTTACTTCTGACTTTGTCACTGTTATAGTCTTACATAATAAAGTTGATGGTATTGAAGCTGATAGTAAACAATCTAAATCAACAATATCAGGTAATGTTGTTTGAGTAGGCGTATCAATTTTTTGAATAATTACCATTGATTCCGATGATAAATTATAATTGGAATTGATACATTGTTGTGAAATAACATAATGTTTATTAGGGGGTACAGGTGTAGTAAGCGGACTATCAGTTGTAGCAGTGATGATAGGCTATATAATCCATACATATGTGTGATAGAAAGCAAATAGTAATATAGACATATTTAGGGTGGAGTATACAATAACAATAATTATTATTAAATAACTGAAGTTGTAATATTATTTATAGGAGAGGGGTAGTTGATGAAGAGATTGTTTAACCGAAGATCCTGAATCCGAGTTCCGTGTGCAGGATCGTGGATGCGCACTGCTGAGAAGTCTCATACTAGGATGAAAAGGTCGTCCAGTGCTTTCAGGTTTACAATGGTTAACTTTCTTTTATTTGAACACAGAAATATTGGTACAAAGAGGCACCAGATACACATGCGCCACACAAATCTCATTCGATTTGTGTGAGGGCTGTGATACTGCTCAGGTGCCCAGATCGAAGCAGGTGGTTTTCTTAGAGGGCCACACTCGGAACATTTCACCTAAAGATCTGATCCACAAGTCAGTGGAACATCTTGAGGAGATTCAGTCTCATGATGGTAGCCGGTGACCAACGATTGATTCATACGCCATTCGTTCCTTCAGGATACTGGAGCCAATGTGCACCATTGATTTGGAATCAGGGTGTTCCAACTAACCTAGGTGGAAGCGCCGTGTCCACCAACCCGGTTAAAGAGCCGGACATTCGCTTTCCGTTTTCTCAATTTCGTAAACAACAGTAATGCCACGAGAAGGCAGTGAGTAGGACTTCTGTGACAGAGGCTATATACGCGTGGCCATGTGAGAGCAGTTGGAGAGGGAGAGCGGACTCTCCCCACTTTCAGCCGTACCAGGGCATTTGGAGGCCTTTGGTAGTCTAGCATCGATCAGTTTATGATTTCAATACAACAGTTTATATGGAATTATTTGAACAAAACGTTTATGGTTTAAATTAAACAAATAATATCACTGCTGTGGTGAAGCGAATGTAAAAGAAAGTGTAACTATTACGATTGATTCACAGATTCTAATTTTATAGCTAGTAGGTAACTACACCGTTCCAGTTTCATATTCCCATAATGGTAAGCTTCCGATGAACCTATTAACTATTGATGTGTGATTCACTATCGCATAATTATTTTAAATTAATTGTGTGCAGCTTGCTTCGCTCTTTGTCATATATGACTCAATTGTTAGAAAATTATTTCATAATTGGAATGTTTGTGGTCTGATGGTTCACATATATAAGCCAGTGAGTTTTGGGGATAGCTGCTGGGTAGTTGGAAACAATAATAAAAACAGGGCTACTGTTTTCTATTTTTGGACTCAAGGCTGGGGATCAAGGGACTAGTAAGAGCGAAGTATACGTTAGCCTCAGATCAAGGTTAACTGTGATGGTCGGAACGTACCGTTGGCCAATTCCTCGGACACTAGACTAAACATGGGATAACATATGAGGGGTTGAAAAATTATAATCGGAATTCTGATCAGCAAATCTAACGGATGATATTGATTGACGTCTTACATATAACATATATATGTAAGAACAAACCTCTAGAATACTTTTGAGCTTCAATTCCAAACTCAGTGATTCAGCATTCACTACTTAGTAGTTAAGGGAAATTAGCCATTATTACAGTGGAAAGTGAATAATAGATAGTCTACACCTATTCATATTCAGCCAGAATATGCAAAACAAATGATTGATTATGAAATTTAATAAATCAACGAGGTATATAATTATGTTGTTATAATTTGAGCTAAACACGAATAATAGTAGACTGGTAATAAAAATGATTAAACAAATTTTTCATGTTAATATTAGTAAAGTAACTAATGATAATAATACGTTAGTTTAGGAGAATAGACTACTCCCTTCTTCTATATAGAGTACAACCAATCCTATTAGAACATTTGATAATGGTAGTGGTAAAATTATTGATTTACTTAGAAAAGAGAAAAACACACAAAGCTCACTAAACAACTGAGATAACAACAGAAGGGTCGTGCTGATCATAATATGATAAAATGGCACCGATAAAACAGGAAATAAACTGCAGAATAGAAAAACAACTGAGAAAAAAGACTAGGCAACTAATTTTTCGCATTGATTAATTGATTGTTCTGTAGAAATCAAAGCTGATTTTATCTAGTAGTCCATAAGATATGGATTAATTATAATTCAACAACTGAAATACATACAGTTTATGTTTTCAATTAGAAATGTGTAAGAAAGTGGTGAAAAGTCAGATAGTTTGGAAAATTGATTGATATTAAATTATTAGAAAGAGATGTTTGAGATCAAACTCAATATCGCGCTCTTCTTCGAATGTGGTTACAGTCATGAATGATTTGTTGCTCAACGGGCTATCTCTCTCTATATATTTAGATGATGTATTGAGCACACATTTCGATAACATTTAAATCAATCACTACTTATTCAATATTTATGGTCTTACCCTTGACATTTATTGTTCAAGGTAAAGAAAAGAAAAGCCACAAACATTTTAATGTCAGCCACACATTGTGATAAACAAAATGGTTTCTGATTATAATATTGTCGTGAAAAGTTGTCCACAATTGCACTTAGCTCAGTGATAAAGTGACTTGGTTTAGCGCTGATAACCTCACTGGTAAACGTTGACCACATTAATAAACTATAAATATCAGTATATTCATTAAATACGTTTTAGCAGTTTCTGTGATTCGCCTGACATATTATTTCTATGTGGTCACTTGATAAAGGTTTACTCACTTCTGATATAGTTCATGACAATGATCAAATTCTATGGATCAATTTGCAATGTGGCGACTACACTGTGTGGCTCAACATAGTGTGCCTTATCTTTGATTGACAGCCGGTTGGGTTCAATCGAAATGAAACCCTAGACGTATGCTCTGATATATCTGTAAGCGTTACGAATTCACTAGTAGCGAACGGAACAAAGACACGTGACCAGAGACCGATAACTAGCTATACTGAGGCGACCCAGACCCAGCTAACTAGAGTAAGAAGTCCAAGTTGGAGCGGGGAAGTTATATTCCGTAGCAGCCAGAAGCACAGCAATCAAATAAGGGAAAAAGTCAAGCGTATTTATACAGCAACAAAATGTCCTTGGGCATCGTTAATAAATAGCACACACAAAGAAACAATTGACCAATAGCGTTTAAGATAGTTACAAGTGGGAAATATGATGTGAAGGTAATAAGAGCACGTTTGGCGCGAAAACAGCTAAATTCAAATTTCCAAAATAAAATTACAAAATTGAGCCACTTATCAAGTAAGTTCTGGGGATTTGACATCCCCAGTCAGACAGTCAGCTACAACGTAGGACCAGGCACATATATGCAGCGGTCCAAGTTGCCATACCTCGTTAGCACAACAAGATGAACACCGGATTCATAGTAGTTAATTTAGTGTTGGTAGTAGTATATAAATTATAGGTTGTATATAAGGATATAGTACAGGAAGGAAGAGAGATATGAAGCAATTTTAGTCTCAAGGTTTAAGGGAAGATAAAGAGTGTATACACCTACGCCATTATGATCGATTCTGAGCCATGTCACACAGAGTCTCCAACCATTGGTTACGATAGTCACGCGGACCCCAACCAGGTAGTCTGCATCTGCCAACATGGCTCAGACTAGAAGTTAGTGACTTCAAACACTGATGCCATGTTTTGGTTTGGCTGCCCCTAACTCTCTTCCAACAATCCCCTACACTAGTCATCATAGCGCGTCGTGGTAATCGGTGTTCAGGCGTACGTAACACATGGCCCAACCATCTCACTCGATGAAGATTCATCACCTCATCAACTGATTTACCATCGTTCCCTAACACCCTGTGTCTAACCTCACTATTACTTACCCGGTTATCCCAGCAGATGCGAGCAATATTTCTAAGGCATCTGTGGTCAAATACTAGTAACCTACGAGTATCTTCTACTCTTAATGGCCATGTTTCACAGCCGTAAAGTAGAACAGAGCGAACTGATGAGCAGTATACTCGTCCCTTAATTGATAGACGGATATCTCGTCTACGCCATAGGTGACGTAAGTTGGCAAAAGCCAAACGAGATTTTTGAATCCGTGCTGAGATTTCGTCAGACACCAACCCATTAGGGCTGATCAGACTTCCAAGATAAGTGAAGTTGTCGACGCGTTCGACTACTTCACTCCCTATCCTTAGTTCGGGTGTTGACGCAGGCCAGTCCTGGAGTAACAATTTACATTTGGATGGGGAGAAACGCATCCAAACATCCTGGCATTATTACTCAGTTCCAACAGAAGACTCTGAATTTTGCCAGCGTCTTCACCAAACAGGACTATGTCATCTGCGTATTCTAAGTCGCTTAGTGGTCCCCCTGGTAGGAGATCAATTCCTGTAAATTCAGTCGAAGAGAGTGTTATTTCCAGCAACAGGTCTATAATGAAGTTAAACAAAAATGGGGATAGTGGACAACCTTGACGGACACCACTTGAGGTTGTAAAATCATATGACAGTTCGCCATAAGCTCTCACTCAACTGGTAGTGTTCGAGTAAAGAGCCTTCACAAGGTTTATGTACTTCTCAGGTACACCTTTCAATGACAGACACTGCCACAGAACCTCTCGGTCTACAGAGTCAAATGCTGCTTTCAAGTCAAGAAAAACTATCATTGTCGGACGCCGATAAGCGTGTCTGTGCTCTAAAACTTGACGAATGGTGAATATGTGGTCGATACAGCCACGACCAGGTCTGAAGCCAGCCTGATTTTCTCGTGTTTGCAGTTCACGAGTCTTAGTTAGGCGCCCGATAATTATTGAGGCCAGTATTTTAGATGCTATGTTAGTCAGACTACTCCCTCTATGGTTATCGCAGGATGATTTTGACCCCTTTTTATATATTGGGACAATCAGTGATTGTGACCAGTCGGATGGGATTACATCCGTCTTCCAGATTTTAGCCAGAATATTAGTCAACCTAATCGCTAAAATCGGACCACCATATTTAAAGACCTCTGGGGCCAATCCATCAGGACCAGCTGCTCTTCCTCGTTTCAGATTACCTATAGCCTTCTGAATTTCAAGTAGGGTCGGGGGGCCTACTTCAATGTTCCATTCAGGTTTTCTAGGAATAGTGGGTAGTTGTGGGGATTGACATCCCCAACACCTCCCCCTTTTAATAACACACATTCTTCGGGTCCACTTGCATTCTGACTGTCTTTTGCCGTTGGCGCAGTGACCATCTTCGGGACCGTAGGTCGACCTTTTGTGTTTCTTCATGCGTTGGGACTGCCGGCAGATTAAAGGTATCCAATAGTATGTCCAGCGGAATCTTTACTTCGGTCGATGGGCGCTCTGGCGTTAACCGCTTGTGTAGTTGATTTCGATGTCTGGTCCATCTGTCCGCTCCCACCTCAACCTCGTACATGACTTCTCCTACCCTTCTAACCACACGTGCTTCGATCCAAGGGTCACGACTTGCTCTGTAGTCCCTAGCAAATACTGGGCATCCAACGTTGTACGTGGGTAGCTTCCGGGACGTGGTTTGTACTAGTGGTGGTGTGGTTCTCGGCAGCATCAAGTTGTGGATGGTCCTCAACCGTCTTCCCATGAGGATCTCTGCGGGGGACTTCTGCTCTGGCAGCGTAACGTTGGGGGTCGTTCTGTAGGCGAATAAAAAACTCTGCAGTGTTTCCACTGGTAACCCCTCCCCTTTTGACTTAATAAGGGCCCTCTTGAACGTATCCACGAACCTTTCCGCTTGCCCATTCGATTGTGGGTGATAAGGTGGGGCGCGAAGATGCCTGATGGTTAGGCGTTTGCAGAACTCTTGGAACTGCGCCGAGGTGAACTGCGAACCGTTGTCGGATACAATCACTTCCGGTAAACCGTTTCGTGCGAACAACTCAGTCAGATGTTTCAGAGTCTGGGTGGTCGTTGGTGGAGTGACGGGAACAATCTCCGGCCATTTTGAGAAGGCGTCGACCACGACAAGATAAGTGGTTCCGTTGACTGGACCGGCAAAGTCGACATGTATCTTAGACCAGGGATGCTCAGGCTGTGGCCATGGAACCGGGGGCACCTTCGCATTGGACTTTGCAGCTTGTTGACACTGAGCACATTTGTTTACTAGATCCACGATATGCTGGTCCATGAGGGGCCAGTAGGCATAGCTTCTGCCGATGGATTTCATACGCTTTATGCCTGGATGACCAATGTGGAATTGCTTCAGCACCCTCGGTCGTAGGGATTCTGGCATCACCACTCTATCTCCAAACATCAAGCATTCATTTACGACACATAATGAGTCACGACGATGGTAAAGCTGCTTCATGTCACCGTCAAGTTTAGTTGATGGCCAGCCATTGGTGACGTAGTTCATCGTTTTCTTAATGATGGGGTCGTTTCTGGAAGCAGTTTGTATCTCAGATTCTGAGACTGGCAAAGCACGAACAGCAGTTGTCAGGTAGCATTGCGCGTGATCTTCTGTCGAAAGAGAAGCAATAACGGCATCATCGTCGGTCGTAGGGTGTTCGCTGATAAGTCGTGACAATGCGTCTGCCTGACCAAAATGTTGGGTGCGTCGATACTGAATGTCAAAATCGTAACCCAAGAGGATCAAGGCCCATCGTTGGAGACGGTTTGCAGAGTGAGCCGGGACGCCAGACTTCGAAGCAAAAATCGCAAGGAGAGGCTTGTGATCAGTTAAGAGAGTAAATCTCCGACCATAAAGAAACTTGTGAAAACGACGCACTGCGAAGACTAGGGCAAGAGCCTCCTTCTTTATCTGGCCATACTTCTTTTCTGCTGGGGTTAGTGTTCGCGATGCATGCATGATAGCTTTCTCTGTCGCGTCGGGGAACTGGTGTGAAATGACAGCACCGAGCCCAAAGGCTGAAGCGTCTGCGGCCACGATGATTGGCAAAGACGGGTCGTAGTGCGTTAATAGTAGTTCTGAGCTAATAATTGTCTTTAGCTTACAAAAGGCCTTTTCACACTCCTTTGTCCAGTTCCAGCTGATATCCTTATTCAGAAGATAATTCAGTGGGGCGCGTATGTCATGCATCGATGGAACGAAGGCTGAGTAATAACTAACCAGTCCCAGGAATGATCGTAGAGTAGAGATATTGGTAGGTGTGGGCATAGTTCTTATAGCTCGAATGTTCTCGGGATCTGGTCTGCGACCTGCAGCATCGAAGATGAACCCCAAATACTTCACGGATTTCAAGAAAAGCTGGCACTTTTCCGGACGTAACCGGAACCCGTTGTCGCTGACGTGTTGGAGTACGGCTGTTGTGCGTCCTCGTAGCTGTTCCGACGTTGTGGCAACAATGAGGATGTCATCGAGATAAGTTGCGACCCCCGGGATACCCGATAGAATGGTATCCATCAGTTGCTGGAAAATATATGGGGCGGTCTTAACTCCAAACGGTAGTCGATTATATTGGAACAGGCCACGATGAGTATTAATAGTGAGTAGCTCTCTTGATTCTTCAGCCACTTCTACTTGTAGGTAAGCATCAGCAAGATCCAACTTCGCAAAGAACTTTCCGCCATTCAGCATAGTGAACAAATCCGCCGGGACTGGCAGCGGATAATGATGCTGTTCTAGGGCTGCGTTGAGACCTGTGGAAAAATCTGCACATATTCGGATTGTACCATTAGCCTTCTTGATAACAACAATGGGTGCTGCCCATACGGAATAAGAGACAGGAGTAATAACTCCTTCACGTTGAAGGCGATTAAGCTCTTCCTCAACTTTCTGTAATGCAGCATATGGTACTGGTCTCTTCGGACGAAAAGCAGGTTTGACCCCAGGTTTCAATCGAAGCGTTGCTTTCATGGCTGAGCACCGACCCAAAACAGGCTGGAAGACGGTCGAAAACTTCGTAACTAGTTCATTTGAATAGGCTTCCGGGTCATGGGGATGCTTTACTAGTTGATACACGGTGTTTAACGGGACGTCCGCTAAATGCAGCTGGTCAAACCAATCTAATCCAAGTAAATTAAGATCAACCGGTGCAATGTAACATACCCCAGTGAACGTCGAATCGCGAAAAGACACTTCATAATGTAGTTGACCTAACAAACGTAAGTAACTACCGCATGCTGTACGAGGCTTTTGTGTTGTTATCGCCATACGTGGTCTGCCCATTTTAATCCAAGATTTTGTGAAAGAATTGTCACGTCCGAAGCTGTGTCTATTTGTAATCTAAATGGATGCCCGTTAATATTAATGGTAATAAATTTTCTCTCACCAGGGGTTGAGTTCTGATAGGATGCTACAAGACTCAACGAATTTGTGCACGGCTTGGGAGCAGACTTTCTAGTACTTTTGGGGCGATTCGGCTTTTTATTTTGGCAAAACCCATCTTTGTGGCCCACAGCTTTACACTTCCTGCAACGATGTTGTTTATACGGGCAGCTTCGAACATAATGCCATGCACCACAGTGCCAGCATGGAGCAGGAGGATTCGTCTTTGCTTGTTGAACTGAGTTAGAGTGAGACGAACTAGGTATAGCTGGAGCGGGTTTAACAGGTTTCGTTTGTTGTTGGACTACATGTACTTCAGGGCGATCAGAAACACCACGTTGAACCATGGTAGTGTCATGCTGCAGATTAATTAGACGTTGATATTCGTTAGCAATATCATCAAGAGTCAGCTTAGGGTCTTTATCCAATCGACTGAGCAACCGTGTTCTAATATCACTGAACTTTTGCGATTGGAGGCTGCAGATGAGAATGAGGGCTTTAAACTGATCTTCAGTTAGCGACTTCAACCGAAAGCGTTCGCATTCGCGGTTGACAATGCCCACATGCGTCAGAAAATCGGTGTCTTCGTTCATAGTCAGCTTCAAACATCGATAGCGTGTGTTGAACAGTGAGGAATTATCTCCGAACTGTTGGCTCAATGACTGGACAGTGTCTGAGAATGAGCGATCGCGTGGGTTTAGAGGCAAAATCAGGCTACAATATTTATCAAGTTCACTAGGACCCAGCTTTCGAAGCAGCAAACGGACTTTCCAAGCATCATCTTGATTGGCAAAATCAAATCTGATTAAATCTTCATAACGCCGGAACCACATATCAAACGTAACATTAGATTCAGGATCGTAATGAAACTCAGAAATACTGCTGGCAATACCACCAACTGAAGGTGCAGAAGTGGTAGGATTAGAACTGCTTGATTGGCTATTGGTCGTAATTTTTGTTTCTGTTAGCATCTGGATAAGTTTCATCTGCTGTTCGAGCAATAATTCCACTTTTGCAGGATCCATATTTTCAAATCACCGTCGCCAATTGATATATCTGTAAGCGTTACGAATTCACTAGTAGCGAACGGAACAAAGACACGTGACCAGAGACCGATAACTAGCTATACTGAGGCGACCCAGACCCAGCTAACTAGAGTAAGAAGTCCAAGTTGGAGCGGGGAAGTTATATTCCGTAGCAGCCAGAAGCACAGCAATCAAATAAGGGAAAAAGTCAAGCGTATTTATACAGCAACAAAATGTCCTTGGGCATCGTTAATAAATAGCACACACAAAGAAACAATTGACCAATAGCGTTTAAGATAGTTACAAGTGGGAAATATGATGTGAAGGTAATAAGAGCACGTTTGGCGCGAAAACAGCTAAATTCAAATTTCCAAAATAAAATTACAAAATTGAGCCACTTATCAAGTAAGTGCTGGGGATTTGATATCCCCAACATGCGCAAATTGGTGTTTCCCATACTATCTGGACCTAAATTATTCAGTGTTTATTTCCATTTTATGTCGAAAACAAGAGAAAAATAGAATGTAATCAGATATACATTAGAACTTGGAATATTTGTGATATTTTTTAGATTCTTTAAGTTCGATGGTTCAGTAGTAGAGCAATAATTGTGGTTCCGGATAACGCCTACAGCGATTATGTAACATAAAAGTGAGTTTCTTATTTATTCCACGAATCTCAAATCTGTTTAATCTGGTGATTTTGTTTGTAGTCAGTTGTCTTCATGCGTTTTATTATGGTTATTTGTCTTTGTATCCAAGTTGACTATCTTGTTCCGTTGATCACTGAGCATGTTGTTGATAAACCTTTTACAAATGAGTCAATAGATCAAGCATAATTCGGTGTATTAGTGATTGATATGAATACCATGCTTTCAGAAATTTCTGAGGATCATGTCAATCATAGAAAACTCTGACAAAAGTGATAAATAGTATGTCAGTCAGTCAATCACAACGTAGAACTTCGTACGTACGTACATCAGTTCGAGTTGCTATACTACTTTAGCACAGAGATGAGGTTTTCCATTCAAATCCTATAGTGATATAAGTAGTAAGAGTATAAGCGTTATGTGAAAGATTAGGGTTTGAAGATGTTATTGAAGGAGTATAATCCGGTGAAATAAATTTGGAAACAGAAAAAGGATAGGGACATGAAGAATTCAAAAGGTTAGAATTTGGTAGAACACAAAGAGTGGATGCACCTGAGCCATTGCAAACGATTTTGAGCCATGTCATTCAAAATCGTCTTACCGCTCTTCAACCGACCTGTCTGGCATGGTAGGACCTTGAGGAACGATTGTTCCAGCCAGCATAGCTCGGTTGGTTCATCACGATAGACAAGCCCGACCACCACGTCAAGGTAGCAGCAACGGTCGGGAAAAATAGTATGTACATGGACTGATTAAAAATCAAACCTAAGACAGTTATTACAAAATCTACAACTAGTTCATAATAACGGTTTGTATAAACTTAAAATTACTTACTTTATCAAGATTAGTAATTGAATTTGTTGTGAAGTGATTGACAAGATTTTCATATACACCACTTCTATAATCATCTATTTGTTCGTGTTGTTCACATGAATCAGAATAGTCATGTCTATTACTTAAATGTGGCAAATCTGGAGGTCCAAGTTTGACAGCTACTGTATACAAGAAATTCAACAGACAAAAAATATTATTACTTCTTCTTTTTTCACAGTAAACATTATAAATATAAAAAAAGATTTTAATCGGTGTCAAGATTTTGTCGACTACCAATTTAAGAGGGATGATAAGACTTTTAAGCTAAGTGAAGAGGCCAACTAGCTTAACTACCTCGCTTTCTACGATAAAACTCAGAACTGATGCGGAAACATTTTGAATTTATAGGGAAAGGAACTGATATTAAACATTTTATACCATTATTAATGGCGTTCGGGAGACTCTGGATATTGTAAAGATCTTCATTAAAGAGAACTATATCAACTGATTTTGCAGATAGGTGATCAATCCTTGAAAAATAAGATGTAACTTCTAGGAGCATATTTATGAAGTTAAATAAAAACAAAACGTACGCAGGTCTAAAAACACCACTAGATCTGAACAGATCAAACACGACCAACAGTTCTTGATGAAAAAAGCTTTAGTAGTTTAATATAATTTATGACACGCTTGTCAAGAGTTCTAGGTGGACAGAGTAGAAGGTTTCTCCCTGAGAATCAAGGAATGTGCTTAGGGATGTATATAAACCATTTATCGTCTAGTAAAAATGACACATCGGTATAATGAGAGAAAATACATAATCACAAAAACAAAGAGGGATACAATGATAGAAGAATTGGTTTATCCTTTCGCCAGAGAAAAAAGACGAAACGAGAAATAAGCAATATAGAAATGAAGCTCATAGAATCAGGAAACTTTGACATGGTGTTATGAAAATAGAACTAGCTAAATAAGTTCAGGTTTATGTAAACGAATTTTAACTGTTAAGCAGTTAAGGCGTTCAACTTTCAGCTACGAATTCCTGAGCAGTATCATTATATCGTACATTAAGATTGTAGCGTAAATCTAAGTACCTACTAAATAAGTAAATTAATTAATATTTTTAATCAAATTTCAATCATACTGGTGAAGAGTGACAACACTGTTTAACTGTCCAAACTAAAGTAAGAGAAGTGGGATTTAATGCTGCAACTAGTTGATTGATTTCATTGTTTACACAACGAACTTGTAAAATTATGCGATGGAAGACTTGGCTTAGGTTAATTTATGAAGTCTTTATTTTGAAATCAAGAAGACTGTAACTCTCAATTGTTTAATGAGTTATCTTTATTTTATTTTTTATTTAAACACATAGATATTAGTACAAAGAGGCAGCAGATACACATGCGCCACACAAATCTCATTTGATTTGTGTGAGGACTGTGATACTGCTCTGGTGCCCAAACTGAACCAGGTGGTTTTCTTAGGGGGCTACTACCGGAGCCTTTGACCTAAAGGTCTGATTCACAAGGCGGGGGAAAATCGTGAAAAGATGCAGTCCCATGGTGGTAGCTGGTGACCAACGATTGATTCATACGCCATTTGTTTCCTCAGGATATTGGAGCCCATGTGCACCATTGATTTGGAACCAGGGTTTTCCAACTAACCTAGGTGGATCCTCTGTGTCCATCAACCCGGTTAAAGCGCCGGACATTCGCTTTTCGTCTACTCAATTTCGTAAACAACACTCCCGCCACGAGAAGGCGATGAGTAGGACTTCCCTGGCAGAGGGTATATACGCGTGGCTGTGTGAGAGCATTTGGAGAGGGAGAGCGGACTCCCCTCACTCTCGGCCGTACCAGGGTATTCGGAGGCAAAAGAAATCACTGATAATAGGGCTTTGTAATATATGATTTAAAGTTTTGTTATTTTTTTATATTCATATCTTAATACTATTACGTAAGTAGATTATACATTAAAAATTGGAACAATTCATTACTCTTAAGTAAATTATTTTGTTTGAACAGACTATTTTGGTTGTATATATATATATATATATATATATATATATATACTCTAATCAATATTCTTATGGAAAATACAGATTAACACATAATCCAGGTATGTATAATATTTTTTTATGTTTCCAACTGAATTTTTCATTCTGTAAAATAAAACTTTGAATATTAACTTTATTATATCTACATGAATATTAGCTAAAGTAACCAATCATCGGTAAAGATAATGATAACTACGTCATTAACAAATAATGTAAGCAATTCACGGGATTAGATTTTAATACATACGTATAATATAATGTAAATATATATATACCATATGGATCAGTTGTGCAATACCATAAGAGAGATAAACAAACAGACAGATAGATAGACATATATCAATAATTTTTTTTGTATGTTAGATAATAAAAAAGTTTGGCTGATGTATGGTAACAAGCATGAATAGACACCTTGTAATCATGGAAATACAATACACGTATTCATATATATATATATATATATATATATATATATGCTTATGCATTGGTAACAGTAACACACATAAGGGTATGTCTATTTACACAAATTGAATACAACTATACTAATTGGAAAGTCAATCATATTGCCTATGAAAACAAAAAAACAAACAAACTGAAATTAACATGTGATTTTCAAAAATAGCACATTTTATTGAAAGATAAGAAGAAAAAAAAACTCTTTTCGATTCACCATCATCTCCAACATCTATTCATCTTTGTATGTATGTTTGAAGAATTATTATTAAATTATAACTGATAGATAATGAAGAATTCTATCACTAATACAACCTTTAAACAATGAAAGAAACACTTAGTATTGTTTGTTTGAATTTTTCCATTGATGAAAGGTACTGGGTTTGAGTCCCAGAGTGAACATCAACTCTGAGATGCAGATACATCCAGCTGACGAGTCCCAAATAGGACGAAACGCGCGTTAAACTGGATTCCACTGCTGGCCACTATCCATCTTTGCTTATAATGAAAGAAACAGTTTATGCATTTACTTAATCATTCAATTTTTATTGTCATTAAAGTCTAAGTTCGGAAATACAACGCAGTGATCAACAAATAAGTATATGTAAACCAATAAGTGAATATTGAGCTGAAACTTTCCATGGGTAAATTCAAGATACATCGTACAGTTGACCATCTCATCACGTGTAACATAACTATACGTTTACTGATTACTACTGGTTGACATTTCTTTAGTAAGGTTGTTTTCTACGGGTTGAGGTTGCTGACCCCATGGCCAACCATCCTCCTTTAATCGAGCTTGAGACAGGCAGAAACCCTAGAAGAGGTACAGGTGGAGTTGACAGAAGGATATATTTAGTTTTTTTTGTCAGATAACTGCAGTCCAGAATAAACGTTGAACAGACAACAGAATATATATATGAAATGACTTAGTTTGTGAATTTTACTGACTACAACCCAGAAAACAACCGTGGTTATTCATAACCAGTGATCTTGATTACTTGGCTAACCAACTGACTGTATGACTGCAAAATATATAACATTGGCTACGAAACTATTTAATGAATAAGTTGAACGAAATTGAATTAATTCTGTTGGGCGGTCAACTGTAAACAAGGAAATTATTATATTAATCTGGTACGGATTCGAAGATATGATTCAACAGTCAAGTGTCTGAACTGTAAAGCTTCAACTGTAAGAGGCTACGTAGAAAATAAAACTAATGTAAAACTAACCAGGATTTTATATATCAAAACAGAGTGCAGAGAGATGAAAAATCAATAAGATCCATAACATAGGAGAGGAGTAAATAGATAACTTCAATAGCAAACTGAACATAAAACGTCAAATGCACAATAAAGTCAGATTGAGGGATGAGAGGGGACTAACGCAAAGTTTGATATGGTGGTCAAGGTCTGAATTGATCAGAGAATAAGAGACGTAAAAAAATTGACCTTCATCAATCGCCTATGGGATTCGACTATATTTATTTCCCTGACTCTTAATTATGTATGCTACAGTGGGATCGAGATCAATCTCCGCTGTTTCGAGAAAACTCAAGTATACAATTATACTAAAAATCAAACTAAGTAAAGCTGCATACCTAGGGAAGGTGACATATTATTTTTATGATCAAGATAGACCAACTGCAAAATGTCCATGAAATGACAACCGATATCTTCAAACAGGAACTAGAAGTAAGAAGATATGACGTGTTACCAATGAACTCAGACAACTACGGATGCGAATTCAATTAGGACAGCGTCAAAATTATGGATCGAGAAAATTCGAAGAATGCTAAAGAGCTCCTAAAAATATGGTCTTCATGACAATCTGTAATCAACAAGCATATCAACATGGAACCAATCTACCAGTCTATGTGGAAAAGGTCAATGAACCACGTGATCCACAGAACAAAACGTTCCACAGGAATACTAAGCAAAATGAAATGCACTAGACCTATGAAAACAGCCACTCATGGACATGGTCATTAGAATAATCCTATTTAAGGCTTATGGATTGCTAATTAAACAGATCACTTTTACATGAAACAAGAGCTGATGATATTGCTGAGGGAAAATGGAAACTTCGTAATAAAAAATCTAGCTCGAAAAAATAATACAGTCGAAAATTTATATTCGTCTTCCTTTTGTTTTCTACTTTGATATTATGGTGCAGCCGCGTGATCATAGGATATTAGGCAATGAAAATGAATGGTTTGATGAAACTGTGAACTTTTATTGGCTGAGGTAGTTGGAACAGTGACTTAGTGGTTAGGTCACTTACCTTACGGTTATTAGGTCGTCTATTCTAACAGCCACGTAGTACTACTAGTCCTGGTGAAAAAATCAGGAAGCTGTTGACCAGTATCTCGAAATCTCTTTATATTTCTTTTTCTTCATCTTAGACTTAATCGTTTCTACCACCATTGAGAGTGTTACTACTCCTACCATGATTTGTTTTGACAATTTCATTTTGATATGCTAATGTGGAGTGATAACTTTAATCTATACACACGCGTGTCAGGTGCTACCATTTACACGACTGATTGCCACAGATATCAGCACGCATACTTAACCACTGAATACTCTGATAAACAGTGCTTGATGACATAGTAATAGGTTGGGACAAGAATAAGATCTACCAAATAACCGAAGATGTGGCAGCAGTTCTCAGAACTAAAAATTATTGGGGTGAACCTTGTCGTCCAGTGAAATAATCCGACATTGGAATTTTAGTGATAGTCGTACTCGATTGCTAAAAGCGTTAGCAGATATACCTGGAAATCAATTGTATAAAACTTTTTATTTAATATTACCGTCAACGTTTTTACGAAATCTGACTATATTTCGAACACTTGTGTTCATCTTTCCAATGAGGTTGTCTACTTATATCTAATGCAAGTTTTTTAAAACAACGAAATATGAATAAGAGAATTATCAAACAAATCTTGAGGTATGTAAAGTAGTGTGGACCTAATTGGTCATATTATTTGTCTGTCAGTTACTAGGTTATAAGCTAGAACACTTCAGAATCTCAAAATGTTTAACATCATAGTGTGGCGTGTGCTACTGATGTCCACAGATATAAGTAGTATGTATCATCAATCGAAAGTGAAATGACTGGAGGCAAAAGATCAAGATGAAAGAAAAGAGAACGCGAACAGAGAATGATTGGTCTGGGAACAGCCAAGTCTGAGATAGTTGACTGACATTTTGCAAATGAAGTATTTACTATTTGGTTCTCAGATCTTACTAAGAGATTCTGTAACTTTGTGTTTAAACACATTCGGTTGTACCCGCCTGCGTTCTCGTTCACTACAAAAGTATTAATGCAACACAAAGTTTATTATTGTGAATGCAGGAATATTTCAAGTAAGTTTGCTACCGGAATGATGATTACAAACTTTCTATTAGCTTCTTACAACCCATACTACTTCTACACTTTTATTTGAACAGTGGAGGAAAGAAGAGAAACAGGAATAAGAACTTTATTCCAAGGTAAGTTATGTGCAGAAAATCAAGTGTATTTAGTCTCTTGTGAACTTCAACTCACGGAAATTTTTGGAAAAATATCAAATTTAGTACCAACATCAATTACCTAATTACAACGCATTATATTATCCTTAACTTTTCCAGATATTTATGACTGAATGCCGATTAAATGAAATATTCCCATACGTTCTCCGGGACATAATTGTCATCGAAACACATAAACATTGGTACAAGGGGCCACCAAATATATGTGTGCCATACAAACCCTTGAATCTATGTGTTGACTGGGATACTCACCGTGTGCCCAAACCGAAGCAGGTGGTTTTCTTAGGCGGCCAACTATCGAGTCCTTGACCTAGAGGTCTAATCCACAAGACAGTGGAGCAACGTTAGGAGATGCAGTCCCACGGCAGCCGGCGACCAAGAATAGGTTTATAGACCATTTGTCCTCTTAGGATCCTGGAGCATATGTGCACCATTGGTCTAGAATCACGGTTTTTCAACTCCCCTGGGTAGATCCTCTGAACCTGTTTATCCGGTTTAATTGCCGAATATTCGCCCTCTCAATTTTGCAGATTAGGAATTCCCTGGCAACGGCTATATACACGTGACCATGTGAGAGCATTTGGAGAGGGAGGGAAAACTCTCCACATCCTTGGCCGTACCAGGGAATTCAGGGGCCCTGGACCTTTACAGACTTTAAAGAACGACATTTTAAGACTGCTCAACACATTTCATCTTCACTAAATACTAGATCCTCAAAATGTTTAGAAATGTGTAACCCATATTTTAAGTATTTTAGCCGCTACACTTTTAGGTTGCAATTAACCTAATTATGAATTATATTTAGAAACTTCATACCTTTAGGTTAAATCTTCCGATTTTTAGTGGTTCCATCACACAGAGCAAAGATTTTAACCACGACATGTCAACTAATTATCAACTGCTAATGAGCGTTTCTAAGGTATTAACCAACACTTAAGGTTTAATGTTATTCACAAGACAATAAGAAACTAAATAGTTAAAAAATCGAAGTAATTTCTTTGAATAAGTAGATAGAATCCTTAATTACTTCATTAATATAAAAAGATGAACAGTCAATATGAATAACCTATTCACTAATTATACTTTCTTTTAAAATTGTACACACAATTAGTGTATAATATAAAAAGAGAAAGTTGTTTAAATGTGCACATTCAAAAAGTCGTGGTGTTTTAAAAAGATCACAGGAATGATGGTTATCATTATTGTTGTTTGACTTTAAAATTGGAATTTTAAATTTTATATACAACATTAATGATAGAAATAAACAACATTCTTATTTTCTTTAAAAAAAAATAAACAACACAGAACTATCCAGGGATCTATAATCATTGTGTTGAATAACTTATAAAATACAATATGTAGAGTCAGTCAGTCATAATCAACGTAGCGCCTGACACAAATATGAATCAGTGTAAGTTATCCACTCCTGACACTATAATTATGCCCCCAAATGCCCTGGTACGGCCGAGAGTGAGGGGAGTCCGCTCTCCCTCTCCAAATGCTCTCACATGGCCACGCGTATATAGTCTCTGTCACAGAAGTCCTACTCACTGCCTTCTCGTGGCATTACTGTTGTTTACGAAATTGAGAGGACGAAAAGCGAATGTTCGGCGCTTTAACCGGGTTGCTGGATGTGGAGTGTCCACCTAGGTTAGTTGGAAAACCCTGATTCCAAACCAGTGGTGCACATGGGCTCCAGTATCCTGAAGGAACGAATGGCGTATGAATCAATCGTTGGTCACCGGCTACCGTGGGACTGCATCTCCTCACGATGCTCCATTGCCTTGTGGCTCCGGGTGTGGTCCCCTAAGAAAACCACCTGCTTCAGTTTGGGCCCCTGGACAGTATCACAGCCCTCACACAAATCAAATGAGATTTGTGCGGCGTATATATATCTGGTGCCTCTTTGTACCAATATTTATGTGTTTAAATAAATAAATAATAAAGTTACCAAACCACCGCACCAGCATAGGCAACACGAATTGAGAAGGGAATTGAAATGATAACATTATGAATGATAGTTTAAACAAAAAAAGAGATTAGATAGAGTTCAAGAAGAAAGAGTAAATCGGTGGAATAAAAAAATATAAAATATGTGTTATCAAAAACTTAGAGAAAAGATTAGGTAGATGGATCTGCACTACAACAAACAATTAGTATCGAAAGTCTTACAGAGCAATGGTTTATTTCTGGAAGAAAACCAGAAGCCAATGTATATAGTCATTTTATAAAAAACATCAATAAACAAGACTGTTTCTCTACACACATCTCAAACTAACAGTCAATGACTCCATCGAAGTATCATATCCTAGTCCATAAGCACTATTAGCAGTATTCTTAATTCCTCCTAATTCATTTATCATGATACTCTAACATGAACAGCTGTTGAGAGTGTATGGTGCGTGTTGCAGCGACCTCACTCATTAAAGCCTGATAACCTCATTATCCAGTCTAACTAATCTCATGACCAAATTACTAGTAGTAAGTTGTGTTGAATTCGCTATACACAAGCAGGCAGTTATTTAACGTTGCATAATAGAAATGTACTACCACCTCTCAGTCTCTGGGACGACATTCGCAGAACATGTCCAAGCCACCGAAATCGGTGTTTCAAGATGATAATTCAATTGGTGTCACCATCTTGAAACACCGACTTCGGCGGCTTGGACATGCTCTACGAATGTCGTCCCGGAGACTTCCACATCGTGCATTATTTGCCGACTCTGGGACTGGTTGGAAAAAGCGGAGAGGAGGTCAGTGTATGACATGATGTCGTGGCATGAAAGAAAGCTGTAAAGGGCTAGCTTCTGTTGGTCCTTCACGACTCCCTGGCTGGGGTCCGACAGATGGTGCAACACAGTGGCTAGAGACGTTATCAGATATGGCTCAGAATAGAAGCCAGTGGCGATCCTGCTGTAACCTTCTTCTACTTTCTTCATAAAGAGTGGTTCTAACTTTCCTAACTGAAAGAGTCTTCCGGTTGTACATTTCAGTCCCCCTTATCTTTTCATCCTTTCTCTTCCTACTTTCATTATTTTGTGTGGCGCATATGTATCTGGTGCCCTTTTGTACCAATATGTATGTGTTTAAATAAATAAACAGTCAGTCAGTCATGCGCAACGTAGAACCTGACACACATGGATATCGGTTCGAGTTATCACTCCACATTAGCAAAGTGAAATGGAATTTCTGAGAAAAGTTGAAAAGTGGTAGAAGCAGTAACACTACCACTAGTGATAGAAGAGATAAGGTGCAGAAAGAAGAAAAAAGTACAAAAAGATTTCAAGAGTCAGGTTCTAAGGGGAGACAAAGTGAATGTGTCTGAGTCACTAGGAATAATTTTGAGCCATTTAACTTAATGTCTCTAACCGTAAGTTATAATACTCGCACAGACACAAACCAGGTCGTCGCGTTCTTTGTATGGATTCTGACATCATTTTATTCAGGAAAAATTATTTATTTGTTTTAGGTAGTTTGCATACGCATGTACTTTTACAAACATGAAACTAGAAAAAGAATTCAGAAGCAGAGGAAAGAAATGTATTTGTATTTATTGGACACAATCAGTAGGTCAAAAGCGATGAAGAACCTAGTACCTGTGTGGATTAGTCTAAGTTGCTACATTACATCAGCACAGTAAGATGAATACCATAGGAGCAGTAGTAGTATTCATGATGGTTATGAATATCAAGCATAGAGGATTAAGCTTGAGAACGATTTAATTCGAGAAAATTGTAAGTAAAAATAACTTTTAAATCAGTGATTTACTCCGTTCCCTTGACCGAAGTAAGTGGAGAGGGGTTCTGACCTGCGACCTGTTGGCTGGGAGTTGAATACCATAACCATTGAGCTACCGCTTCCAGTAATGTTTTAGCAGCTATATATATCAAACTCAAGGAAGCAGTGACGACTCATTTCAGCTTTGGGGAGGTTTGTGTAAACCAACCAAGTAGATGAAATACTAATATCCACTATAATTAGGAGGATTTCGATGTTTAAGGACTAACCTGAAATAGTCAAATGTCTATATAATACGTTTTTGGTGCATATGTTTGTAGTAAGATGAGTAACCGAAATAATTCCAAAAACTTACGTTCAGGTTCCATATTCACTGAGGAGGTTAGATTTGTATTCAATACATTTTGATTAGAATGATTATTGGATACAACAGATGATAAAATAAATAAAGGTTGGTCAACTTTTAAATCTTGGGTATATGGTGTTGGTGTTAATAATGTACACTGCATTTGACCTGTGTTATTAATAGGAGAGAAATTTTCCGAAGTATTTGAATTCATAACAGTTGTATGCGGGAAAGAATGATTTAACGATGTATTCATATAAGTATTATTGTCAACTAAATGTGTATCATTCAAATTCGCACAATCCACCGGTAATGTTATTTGATTATTAGATGAATGTTGAATAATGTAGGGCATAGAAGATTGTTTTGATACTAAAATATTATTTACGTGATCAGGAGCTGAAAGAAAAAGTGAACAACAGATACAATAGTATAGAATATCAACTGTGACTAGTTTACATAATAAGTTTAATAAATAGATTAAAAAGAAAGAACTTTATTTACAACTGATAGGTCATTAAGTGGTGACCAGCGTCACGTATATCAAGTCCTTTATAGTTTTAACCAATTTCTATCGACTAAGTTGCAATGTAACTACTAGTCGTCTAAGTCTATTGATATCACATGCACTGTATTGAGATGTAACGTGATGGTTGACTGTAATTGACAGTATATTGTGTAGCGATAGAAGTTGATCAGCACTAAGAAGAACTTGACACAAAAGAAATCGGTCACTACTCAGTGATCAATCAATTTTAGATACATCTCACTCTAAAAGGTCAGCTACGGCTCGAATAGCTTTGCAGTAACGTCCGACTGTGAAGCTAGGTGGTACGGAATCGAATCCGCTCGTGGGCACTAGTCCCCTTAAGATCACAGGCACAGTTTGCCGACGAGTGTCAATTATCATGAAATCTAAGTCCACAGTTTCCTGTCGACTACTATCGCTTACCGATTTATAAAAGACTTCCAGGCAACATCACAGTCGTTTAGTAATGGAAAAAATACTTGGGATGTACAGACTCACAGTAGAATAGTGGGTCAAAAATTTTAAATCATCACGCCCCATTATCCATGTTAATTCGACCAATTCGATATTAGTAATTCTAGCACTTACATAGTAAAGTGTAAATCCAAGTACAGTAAAAGAACCTTTTTCAACTGGGCATTTTTGTATTAAAATTTATACCTTTAGCTGTTACCACTGGGTCTATATCCATATACTGTCAAACAGATTCCTAATTCCTAAATTCCGGACACATTTAGCAATGAAGACAAGACACGTTTCATAGTTTATGCGTTAACTACCTACACTGGAATATAGATTTTCATCGTCAAGAAACTATTAAATTGTTTGTTTCATCATTAATTCCCTTTCATTGTGCCGATACGTAGTGTGTTAATTAAAATTGATAAAAATTTGTGCTGGACAGTACGTGATTGATAACTCTATCTATTATGTATGGGGAATTAACATTTATTATGTGCCTCTTAGTAGAACACTCTGAGAAAGACACTTATAGAGACAGTACGGTTATTCTCTTGTGAAACCTTGACGTTTGACGAAATTATCCCACCTTCGAACAATGAGAAATGTGCTATGCTGATAATGATTAGGAAAATATAGAAATCATGGTGCACCCCAGTTTCGAAATTCAAATTACTAAGTCTTTGAGCTAAAACTCTACCACGGGTAATAACGGTGTTGCTCAGTTCCTAACTTCATCAGAACTTATTACATAGATTTACTTTTGGTCAGTAATCATATTATCTGATGTAATGTATTCAAATTTTCAGACTAGAAGAAATGAAAATGTTTTCTGCTTGACAATCAATTCTGTTATTCTTGGTAAGAGATCGACTTGGTGTTTTGTCATATAATCGTCCTTAATGTCATCTATTTTATTAACGATTTCTCATATATATGAATGATTCTTCAAGAAATTTCATGAGGTATGCCTTCGTTAGAACATTTTTCGAAAGGCTTTATAAGAAGTTCGCTGGAAAAACTGACGATCATATTGAGAAACAATATACAGTCGTTACATTTACTAACCGGAATGATTGTCGCCATCTTCATACTAGGTATATAGTCTCTGGATGCATTAAAAAGGATCTTAGTACAAGTTTGAGAGTATGCCCCCAAATATTAGCAAAACTAAACTATTAAGAATTGTTATTGTATGAATTAAAGTTACCATATTTATCGTTAATTCAGTATAAATTTAAGTGGAGATCGTAAAATTTTCATGGTTTAAATCAGGACCACCAATAAAATCTAGGAGCAGTGGACAGTTGCTTCGTCTTAATATGGGACTCCTCCGCAACGCACATCCGCGATCTCACCACAAAGAAACCATAATCGGTGGGGTTTAGCCATGTTGTGCATGAGATAGCCACCGCCATATAAAATGCAAGATGGTGTCGCAATATTGTGAATCGATTGAAGTTAGACATGTATACCACTAGATGCTGGATGTTGAGTGTCCAAGCGCAAGACTGAAGGTCCTGGGTTCGATTCCCTGTTTGGTTGTGAATGCGCACTTCCAGGGAGTCCCACACTAAGGCGAGTCAGATGCCCGCTGCGTCCTGGTATTTAATATTGATCTAAGAACAGAAAGTGATTTAAATTATTAAAATTATACATAGATGTTGATTTTTAAGCTTGGATTCTGTTGCAGAAAGGTTTCACTGTCGAGTTAAACATCAAATATGCAAAAATATTTAGGATTCCGTTGAAAGGCATCCCTGTTTTATAATTACTTGCTTACGCCTGTTACCCCTCGTGGAGGAGCATAGGCCTCCCAGCAGGATTCTCCATCCAACCCTGTCCTGGGAAATCCTTTTCAGTTGTTATTCATCCTTTTCATATCTGCTTCTATTTCCCGACGTAATGTGTTCTTTGGCCTTATGATTCCCTGCAAGATTCTATGTTAGGGCTTGCATCGTGATGCCGTTTATTCTATGGACGTTCAGTATTTTGCGTAGATAAATGTTTATAAATACTTGTACCTTCTTGACGATGGTTGTAGTAGATTTCCACGTTTCAGCTCCGTACAGCGGGACTGACTGTTTTGACGTTTGTATTGAAGATCCTCACTTTGAAATTAGTTGAGAGTTGTTTTGAGTTCCATGTGTTCTTCAATTGTAGAAATGTGGTTGTTGCTTTGCCAATCCTCGCCTTTACATCTGCACCAGATCCTCTTTGTTTATCAATGATGCTTCCAGGGTACGTGGATGTTTCCATATCTTCCAGATTTCACCATCAAGCGTGATTGGGTTGGTATTCTCCGTGCCGTATATGAGAATCTTTCTTTTTCCTCTGTGTATGTTGAGGCCTATTGATGCAAAGGCTACTTCTACATTAGTTGTCTTCGTCTGTATTTGCTCGTGTGTATGAGATAGGAGGGCTAAGTTATTTGCGAAGTCCAAATTGTCTAATTGATTCTGAGATACAATGGATATGTTTTACAATAAAAGACAAGAAATAGTCTGAACATGTCATTTAAGTACAGAATTATTTTTACTTACGATGGCTAGTTGATTTTGGTAAATTAGTAAATATTGCCTGTGAAAAGAAAAAATAAATAGAAACATCTGTGTAAAAAAACGTTTGATGAAACCAGTTATTAAAGTTGGAAGTATAATTATAAATTACACGTGGGGTGTTGAAGTTTACGCGGAAAAACCAAAACCTATTTTCCGCTTTATAAAAGATTGAACTACAGCTTATGTCTTAAGAAGAATAATTTCTAGTCTAAAGGCGTGACAAATTTCCAGTGTATATGATCAGACGAAAAAGTAATTTTCAAGGTGTATTTTAACAAAGCAACTCAGTCAGTCACAATGTAGAACTTCGTACGTACGTATATCAGTCCGAGTTGCCATAACACATTAGCACAGAGATGCAGTTGTCGATTCAAATCCTATATTGGTAGAAGTAGTAGGAGTATAATCAGAAATCCAAAAGATTAGGGTTTGAAGAAATTATTGAAGGAGTATAGTACAGTGAAATAAATTCGGAAAGAGAAAAAGATAAAGACATGAGGAATTCAGAAGATTAGAATTTGGTAGAACACAAAGAGTGGATGCACCTTCGCCATTGCAAACGATTTTGAGCCATGTCATTCAAGGTCTCTAACCATCGGTTGCTATTATCTCGCGGATCCCAACCAGGCAGTCTACACCTACCAACATGGCTCAGTCCACTTGTCAGCGACTTCATAAATTTGTGCCACGTTTTGGTCTGGCCGCCCCTAGCTTTCTTCCAACCTACTCCTACAACATAAAACATTGCACGTCGGGGCATTCGGTGGTTGTGCATGCGTAACACGTGTCCCAGCTATCTCAACTGATGAAGTTTCGCTACTTCACCAATCGATTTGCCATCCTTACCTAGTAGTCGTTTCCTAACAGAGCAACTCAGATGATCAATGAATGAATAAAACCACGCACAGAAATAGCTAAAATGCATAAAACATTTTAATGGTCCAGATTTAATACAGCGGCCCAATACTATAAGTCACCAAATGAAAGGCTACGTTGTGACAAGCAAGAATTTCCAAATGACAGATAGATGTTACTGATGAAAAAGTAGTTCCATTTCCTGATGAGTAAGTGCATATATATAAGTGCTTATGCATTTCATCCGGTTTACAGTGATAAACTTCCTTCTTCACTCCCAGTCATCTCACTGAGTAGCCGATCAGGGGAATCGTGCATAAGAATTTTGTATATCAGAATCGATCTTAGGTATTATAAGTCATAACAGTATCCTCAGATATTATTATCTGTAAGATACGAACGTGACTTCATTCAGTCAGTTTGCTACAACGTAGGACCAGGCACATATATGCATCGATGCCTTACTTTCCAGAAATTTAACCAGAGCTATCAATAAATAGAATTTTCTCGAATGACATAAATAATTTCAAACTATACACAAACATTCAATTTGGGTCCCATAAAATTTGCGTTTCTAGGAGCTTATCCCTGGAATTAAGACAAACAGTAATATAAATAAACGCAAAATTCCCACCATAATCATAACTATTCAGTGACAACTTAAGAAAACTCCTTTCAGTATTCATTCATTTTTTATCTAATTACGAATTATTGGTGGCTAGAGGACAAAGAATATATTATCCTAGTTAAGATTTACTATATTTTGGTAAAAGTTAACTTTAATTGTAATACAGATTGAAGTACCACTATTTTCCAGAGTAAGCATCTTTCTCACATTCAAGGATGTAGCCGCGATATCCCTTGGGCTGGATAAAGCATTTAACATGAGATAAAAACGTTATACACATACTACTATCTCAAGGAATTTAATTGTTAATCAACTTTTATATAACAATTCTTTAATACAAACAATATCATTACCAATAGCCTCTTATTAATAATAACCATTAATTCCATGAAAGTTGAACTAACTATAGAGACTCATCACAGACTTCAGTAAGAAAACGTGTGTGAAACTATTTGAGTGCCAGAATTGATAATTAGCCCAGAATTTATCAATCGACTTTCAATGTTTTAATAACGACAATAGGTTGCATTTACCGTTGTAGTTTAAACTAATCAATTAAATGAGTCACAATGAAATTTTGTTGATACATGAAATGGAATGAAATAATTCAACATTGAATTTTATTTACACATGAATGACTCAATAGGAAGATTAGACAAAACATTGTAAGTGAGAATTAATCAACGTAAAATGACCAATGAATTTACCCTAGTGATAATGTAATAGAGAAAATCTCGTTGATATTGGGTGAGCAGGTTTGTTGATATTTTATAGTTCATTTAAATGGCAATTAGTTCAGAAAGGAAATCCTATAAATTATGATACCAAAGCCTTCAGTTAAAGACGAACTCTTTCCGTAATAATTATATAATTACTATTCTGAACTGATTATGAAGAGTTTGACACAATCATATCAAGGCTGAATTATCACTTAACTGATTGAAGTTCTCAAATGGTGACTAATCACATCCTAGAGAACTCAAATTGTAGATACACGAGCAGAAAGGGCTATTTTGTGTAGTCTAAAAATACTTATTTATTTACTTAAACATTGGTACAAGGAGGCATCAAATATATATGCACCATGCGAATCATTCAATTTGTGTGAGGGCTGGAATACTGCCCGGGTGCTTAAACCGAAGACGAATTCATAAGAGGCCACATCCGGAGCCTATGACTTAAAGGTCTGGTCCATAAGACAGTGGAGCAACGTGAAAAGATGCAGTCTCATGGTAACCTGTGACCGCCAATAGGTTCATACGCCACTTGTCCCCTCAGGATACTGAAGCCCATGTGCACCATTGGTTTGAATTCAGGGTTTTCCAACTCCCCTAACTGGGTCCTCCGAACCTGTCAATCCGGTTTGATCGCCAGACATTCACTTTTCGTTCTCTCAATTTCGTAAACACCCCTGCAGAGAGAAGGCAGTGGCTGTAAACGCGTGGCCGTGTGAGAGTATTTCGAGAAGGATAGCTGACTCTCCCCACCATCGGTCGTATCAGGGCATTTAGGGGCAGCTTAAGAATACTATTCTTTTGTTTAGTCCAAAGTAGGTAGGGTGAATTTGAACCTATAACTCTAGTAGTACAATGAAGTTGAATGATCTGTAAAATTGAACAAAAGTTTCATTTAAAATTTAACATATAAAAACTGACCTACTTCTTATCAATATAGAAATATATACTAAAAATTGTCAAAGTTAAGATAAAGAAAAGGAGGTACAAATAATACTTCCAACTCGTAAACAATCAAGAAAACATAGGGGAATGAAGTTGATTTAGTATTAGGTAGTTATGTTTTTCATTCCTCAATAAGATTCAAAAGAGAAGAGTAAGTTTTACACATACAAAATGTTCCTTATATTGATTTTCAAGTGTAAGTGATGTATTGAATAGTAAACTTATAAAAAAATTTTCAGGAAATGGTTTTCCGTAAACGTTAAGATCAGGTAAGATAAAAAAAACAGACCACCTACCTTTGAGTTTATAACACTATTATTACAGGTGAATGGGGCAACTGAGGAGGAGCACAGACTTGGTTGATGTGATGATCTGGGATAATGAATTAGTTGGGAATTAGAGGGGGAATTAGGTTTTGTAGCTGATGATATGTGAGAAACAAGAACAGGTTGGATATGAGGCAAATATTCATTTTCCACTGAGTTTATCGATGAAATTAATGAATTGGGTGGTAAACTCATTGAGCTTACCGGTCTCATATGAGTTTCTGTTACGGTATTTATTGAATTTCGAGGATGAATACCAAATGTAGACTGTGGTTCAACGACAAATCTCACATTTGATTGAATATCAATTTGATCAAATTTCTGTTTATCATCGTCAGTTGGTTGACAAATTTGATCACAACCATTGTTATTGTTTATATTTTTTATATTTGTAATGGGAGATTGATCCACATCATTCTCATCATCATCGTCTTCATCATCTTCGTCGACACCACCATCGTCCTCGTTTTCTTCGCTTTTCATATTTGAGCAAGGCTGTGACGGGATAACGCCAGATCCGCCATTACAATTCGATCTCATGCGGCGATTTGTTAACTGAAATAAAAATTAACAAAAACACATGAAAAATAGGTATGAAGATCATTAGTTATTATCAGAAAGACAAATATATTCAATTACGTTTCAATTCATTTAAGACATTATTCCATGTCAGGGAAACTACGCACACAGGTTTTAGTAATATTTTAGTGTTTATAGGAACTATGTTGGTATTAAGATATTTATATTTATGTATACAATGCTTTGTGTCTATAACTAATGTGAATAGACTAGGAAGGAATTCATAATATTTCCTATATTACAATCTTCACTAGATGCCCCCAAATGCCCTGGTACGGCTGAGAGTGGGGAGAGTCACCTCTCCCTGTCGAAATGCTCTCATATGGCCAGCAAATATATAGCCTCTGCCAGGGAAGTCCTACTCACTGCCTCCTCGTGGCGGGGGTGTTGTTTACGAAAGTGAGAGGACGAAAAGCGAATGTCCGGCGCTTTAACCGGGTTGGTGGACACGGAGAGTCCACCTAGGGGAGTTGGAAAGCCCTGATTCCAAATCAATGGTGCACATGGGCTCCAGTATCCTGATGGAACGAATGGCGGGCGAACCTGTCATTGGTCAACGGCTACCATGGGACTGCATCTCCTCACGATGCTCCACTGCCTTGTGGATCAGACATTCAGGTCAAAGGCTCCGGGTGTGGCCCCCTAAGAAAACCACCTGCTTCAGTCTGGGCACCTGGGCAGTATCACAGCCCTCACACAAATAGAATGAGATTTGTGAGGCGCATATTTATCTGGTGCTTCCTTGTATCAATATATATGTGTTTAAATAAATAAATAAATAAATTTTCACTAGATAAATACAAGCTTTGTTTAAAGAACTCAAACTTGCTCTAAATACCAAAACATGGATATGTAGCACACACCACAATACTAGTTGGATACTAAAATACCTAATCGGATACACTGCATAGATTGAATTATTTTTTGAAACATACTTCAAAAGATTTGCTTTTTTTTAAATTGCTCACCAAAAATCACTTTTCCTGAACCAGAAAACCAAAATACTTTTTAAGGCTATGATCGCTCTTTTTACCTATTGCTCAATTTTGTAAACAACACCCCCGCCACGAGAAGGCAGTGAGTAGGACTTTCCTGACAGAGGCTATATATGCGAGGCCATGTGAGAGCATTTGGAGAAGGAGAGCGGACTCTCGCAACTCTCAGCCGTACCAGAGCATTTGGGGGCGTTGATAATATAATCAAAATTTAGACATACAATCGGCAATCTGAATAGTTCACTGGCAATGAAACTGCTTGTTACACAATGTGACACGGGAAGTATTAACCACATTAATGCTGTAAAAACTATTTGTTTACGAGTAGAGAGGTGAGTTGGTGGTTGATGCACTCAGCTTCCAATCAGTAGGTCATATTTCTAAATCTTATTCCACATGTTTTAGTTCAGATAGCTGAGAAGCACTACTAACCTTTGAGTAAACAGTAGCTCAAGTTCAAGTACATTAACATGTACATAGTACATGAACTACACTGATTAGCATGAGCGATATATATATAGTGATGATTAATATGAGCATATAATATTAAATATAAATTCCAAAGGTAGGAATGTGTAGATATTTGAGTATAAGTTTAAGAACTGATATAGTGTGACAACTTTAAATGAGCAATCATGAAGTCCAATTACGAAAGTAAATCACTCCGTGAGGATATGAACATAAACGGACTGAGGTGGTCCAGTAATGTGCATTTTTATAACTTGAGTCCGTGAAAATGGGTAAGATCGATAAATAGAAACTTATAGTGGTTTGTAGAAGAAGTGGGAAGTCTGATCTGTGTTAGGAGAAGCATCCTGATCAGTGTCCATTAAATACTGAATTAAAGTGGCGGACCATAATCTATTGAAATTACAGATATCCACACAACAACTGTTTTTCAGGTATTCAGAGCCAAACCACTCTCCAGTTATTTGTTTTCATCCATTCGTCTTTTCCTTCCATTCATTTCGGTAACTCGTCCTTTGCGTGAATGTAAGTAACGATAAGAAAGTGAGCAAAAGAAATATTATGCAAGGTTTTGGATCAGTGAAAACGACCTATTTCTTAATTTTGTCCGATTTTATGTATATTCGTGAGGAAATTCACTAAGAACTGTGAAACATATGTTAAACATCTGCTGGAACTTAGTTTAGTCGGTAATTAACAACATTTAAGTTGAAAACTGCACTGATTGTCCCATCTTTATATATGCATTCGATCTAAGAGCTAATGTAGACACTATACAAACAAGTGGTTGGAGAGATATAAGGTGTAAAGTATACAGCTGATAGTAACAATAAAGTCTATTCACTTACTTACCCTTTCCATATCAGAATTACTAAGAAATTCATTTGCACGATGATGTTTTTTTAATCTTTGTAAAGCATGCTCCACCGTAACACTAGCATACTGATAAAGACGATTGCTGCGTGTGAATACTAGTAAAGCAATTTCACATTCACACAATACGCTCAACTCGTATGCCTTTTTAAATAGACCACTTTTACGCTTTGCAAATGTGACCTATCATATAAGGAATAATAGATTTAGTTACGTAAATTAATTTACCAGTCGATTCTTTTCATCTTTGATAAATTTTATCTCGATTTTTTTACGTCCCATTTCCTAGAAGGAAAAAAGAGTTGAAATCAGTTAGCTTTCAATGAATTAGGGATTTTCCAAATCCTACAAACTTATAAGAAAACGAAGATTACGACTGCGGTTATGAACTTTCTAAAAATTTAACAGCGTATTGCAAAAAGGACTAGATTTGGAGAATTTACATGAGCCTAAACGTCCAGGTGTTACTAGTCAAAAACTATTCAATAATATTTTTCAAGTGCGTCAACTAAAAGTGTTTTGTGGTTTAAAAGTATGTATTAATACTACGTATATACAATTTTTAAAATTAAGTTCTCTTGAGAACTCAAAGCCATATCATTAAGGACTTACTATCGAATTAAACTGTGTTAAGATATACAGATTGCTAAAATTCAGCAACTATGAGCCAAAAATAAGCTTTATTCTCAAACAGTACGGATGGATGTATTTAGGTTACATAATTTTACTGTTCATAGCTATTTCGCAGTGTCTTAAAGGTGATAGGTTGATCCGGATGGTTGGTGAATTCGCTTATTCTCTAACTCATGTTGAATTCAGGTTGGCTATGTTTCTGCGTGAAAAAGATCAAACTTGGCAGATTCGAAGCCGTTTTACTTGTATTAAAAATACAATCAACCCCTGCATAAGGACAGTAAACTGTCAAAAAATGTTCACAGGTTCATAAAACCGCATATAAATTGATCCATGAAATCCCAAATCTGAAATATGACATTAACCAAGCTAAAATTATCCCCCTTAACATACGGAAAAGCCGGAGGTGACTTAATGAGTATTTAAACCATTGAATAATGATTTTCTATCGAACATGCCGCCGATTCTTTTAAATTTCAAGACGTCACATTTACCAGGACACTAAAAACGTTCACGATTCCAAAACCAGTTACTTTTCGAGTAACTACCGACTCTCACATAGAATCACGAACAGGTAGGACTGTTTACCTCAACATGGGGTCGGGGCTTGATACGATGTCCAAAGATTAGGCTTAACAGTCAGGTTTTAATTGATTGGAGAATGAGTGACCTACAACTTAATTTCCTTTAGTCGCCTATGACATTTTGTCATGTTTATCTTGTGTTTATATTCCGTATACAAATAACCATGCTGTTATGCTACACGAAAGGTTGTTCATCTTACTAATGGTCTTGCCATCGATTTCTAGTCGTTCGAGAGCCTAAGTCAATCATGCGGTTTCGTGAAAAGCTATCATTCGGTCGCATTATATCACTGGAGTTCATGTAATGATTGATATTCTATTCTTCAGTTTTAACAACCCAAATTCCGCCTCATGCAGAAAAACACTTCATAACAGCTCCTCTCGATACACATGAAAAAAAGAACAACTGAAACCTCCATAGTCAGGAATAACAGAGGCCTTCCAGCCTTCCGTCTCCGCTCCCTTTTCTAGACTATATCTGAAATACGTTTAAATGTCTGGGTTCGAGTTTTGGTATAAGCATCAACACTGGGGTGCAGGCACATTCAGCTAACAAGTTCAAGGTAACATGAATCACACCCCTTGAAATTCAGTGCTAACTACTATTCGATATTAATAATATGGATGAGTGTTACATACCCTATTGCATATACTGTATGACGGTAGAGCATAATTGATGAATACGATCAGTTATTTGAAATAGCACACATTTATGCTAACCGCAGTGAGGTCAGTGTATGACATGGTGTCGTGGCATGAAAGAAAGCTGTAAAGGGCTAGCTTCTGTTGGTCCTTCACGACTCCCTGGCTGGGGTCCGACAGATGGTGCAACACAGTGGCTAGAGACGTTATCAGATATGGCTCAGAATAGAAGCCAGTGGCGATCCTGATGTAACCTTCTTCTACTTTCTTCATAAAGAGTGGTTCTAACTTTCTTAACTGAAAGAGTCTTCTGGTTGTACATTTCAGTCCCCCTTATCTTTTCATCCTTTCTCTTCCTACTTTCATTATTTTGTGTGGCGCATATGTACCTGGTGCCCTTTTGTACCAATATATATGTGTTTAAATAAATAAATAAATAATAACCGCAGTATTATTATATCAGTAAACAAAAGCTGGAAGCAACCTATTATAGATGGGTTACTAACATGATAAATATACAAATTTGAAAGTTAGCAACAACCTACATATAATAAAGCGTAATAAATACTAAAGCTTTATGACAATCAACTAAATACGTCATTCACCAGGCAATATTTTTGCTAGAGAGCCGTTATCGGTTAATGTAAGGTTAACAAATAACAGATAATAACTAAGTCATGAGTTCTAACTTCATCCGTTCAGATACAGAATACTTCATAGACGAGGTTTCAAACTCACACAGTAAACCAAATCAGTAGAATATAAAACACTCAGTTTTAGGAAAGGCAGATTATTCTTTTCATTGGCGTTCACAGTCACAGATAATCACGCCTACAACTCAGACGCGTTTACAAGGGAACAATCAGACCAACATTTCTCCCCTGTCTAGCCGGACCTCGTCTACCAAAAGTCAAAACCCGATATATACGCGTCGTCCCAGAGTTGATTAGCGGTCTAATTTGATACGTTCGCACATGTGAGGCTAATAAGGTTTTAGGAATGTTTAGAATTCGACCGTAGAATCTATGCGGCGAGCTTGATGTCATGATGAATAAATCAGCTTTCGCAGTCTTCTCGGTGAATCTTACAGCCCAAAATTACGCAACAGTCGTATTCAGAAAGAGGTATTGACTGCTGATTGGAATGCCAAATGTTCTATCTTAGTATTTCAATTTGAATTGCTGATTTATTAAACCGATGAACAAATAAGTCGTGATAATGGAGCCGGATGACCTGAGTTTCTCTACTACTACGTGCAAGAAGTAAGATGTCATTAGATTGATCCGTAATAATAGCAAATAGTACAACTACTTACCAAGGCAAAGATTCCTAAGGTCACACACACCCGCTTCGAACAGAGCGCAAGAACTCAGTCACCTTGAAAACTGATTCGAATAAAGCAGTGATTTATCATTTCCTGCTCCTTATGTAAAATAGTGGCGATATTAGTAAGCTCTGTTCATATCTTGATGCAACTGGCAAACTGTCTGTATTTTTGCTGCCCTAAAAATTTACCGCAATGATTTTGATTTCAGCTTCAGATTTGTGTAGTAAGGATTTAAGGCCTATGACCTATGTTATTCCTTTACGAGTATGCTTCCATGAGTGTTCAGTGTTTTCTTGAATCAGTCAATTGAAAGCGCGGATACCACTGCTTTGAGTAACAGATTCCAAGAATTGCTGACTCGGTGTGAAAATCTGTTCTCGTCATTTCTACTCGCCTGTTATGTCTTCTGAGATGTCTGGACCTAGTGGGAAGAAAAGTAAGGGATTATGTTAGGTCAAGAATCATTTCGTAGTATTACATAAATCAAAATCAGATCACTTCTTGATCTGCGATGTGATGGATGCAAGAGGTCTAGCTTTTCAAGCCACTCCCTATATGGTAAACCCTGGAGATTTGGAATTGCATGGGTAGCTGCTCTCTGTACTTTTTCCAGGATATCCGAATCTTCTTTTAAACAGGGATTAGCGGCCTGCATGCAGTTCTCAAGCCTAATTCTCACTAAGGTTGTGTATACTGTAGTGAACATGTTAGTATCTAACTTGGTGAATGTCTTAAAGTCATCACGATAGATTTTTGTTAATCAGGAAATAATCATTTAAGAGAATATAAATGGTATTTCTTTACCTTGCAATTGATCAATAAACATAACTAAAATGAACCTGGTAACATTCAGCTTTAAATTATTTGATTTGTTCGGGTTGCCATCTTCATGTTGTCGAATGAGCCCCTCATAATTTACATACTGTGTAGTTTTCGGGTATCAAACTTTACTCGAATAGCTTGAACCATAGGATAAGTTACAAACTATCGTGCTGCTGTCTCATCCTCTTCCGTAGTGTGGGGCCAGTGAAATGACACTGAGCCTTAGACAAATCATCCGGCAGTCGGTTCACTGAATGTCAAACAGTTCACCGATCCTCTTCAGCGTCAAGGACAACCAAACAGCATTAGTTAACTTCACTCCGCAGGCTGGCTCATGCAACAGTGGTCACACTCTGTTCCTTGTATCTACTTTGTAATAACGTTGTTTGTGTTGTACGTTCATCAAGGTAGCCATGGTATGTGAAGACGAAAAACAAGTAATCCGCTTTAGGTGCTAACCACGGGGTGTGACTTCGGCGTTAGGTGGTTGGTCACATGATTGCCATCTGGCTCGAGTAGACCCTTAATCATCCAAGTTGGTGATCTACGACAGTCCAGAGAGGGCATTTCCATCTGTCGAAATTGATTTTCACATGTTTTCGACAAGACAGAATTATAAGAATGAGTGTGAAAGACTCGATGACGATCACACGAATTCTTCGTCCGTTCTTCCGATAACAAAAGACACTGATTATAGATGGTTCACTGTGCGAGGATTAGGATTTAGGATTTGTAATCAAGTTATTTATAGGGTTCCCACTATGGACTAACATCAACGTTATTAAGTATGGCTACAAATTTCTACTGAATTATACATGATACCTTTCAGAGAACAAAAGCTCTAAACGTTATTCCTAACAGTTTTTGTGCACAATAAATAACGAAGAATTAGGAACATCACTTTGGAAATCTTTCATTATCGTTTGTTAGTTATAGTGCAAAAGCTAAGTTTGTTAAGAGAATCGAAATATTAGTGGTGAGCAACAATCCCTGGGCGAATTCCTCCTCTTTATAGCTTATGGATCATGACCCTCTAGTTATTTATACGTTACTCGTGGGGTCGCTTTTTTAGCTCAACTTTATCAGCTTTTTTTAACCTAAACCTTTTTAGATATACTTTTCATTGCTTGATTCCAAAGAGTAGCTTCCCTCTTCTGAAGGTGTAGCTAACGGTTCTCTGTATGGTTTTGTGCGGACGAAGTTAGTTCCTAACTATTATTATGAAGAACTGGATGACTGTGACACCCCGCTAACTTCAAACAGGGCGAAGCATTGGTATAACGACCAAACTTCAAGTATTTCATCTGAATGTAGAAGACCATACAACAAACTACCGCGTTCCTCTATATGTTGCACTAAGCTTTTAAAGTATTACTATAAAATCCAAATATAATTCTTTGACCTGATTTATGTGATAATATGACACAAAAGCAAGTTTTATCGAAAGATGCGAAACACTCCAACCATTATACAGTTCAGAGTTTCTGTGATACAAAATTGCATGCTACACAGGAAAAAGTAGCTTAATCGGGAGTGTTTTTCAAGAAAGGAAACTGATAAATCTATTATTTTCGATTGTGTCCCATGGCTTATAAGTTTATGTTATACTTATTTAAGTTTAATGGAAATCCCAACTTCGTGTGTTCATTGTCTATCACTTTTAGAGCTATAAAAACACTCATCCTGCAAATCTATTTTTCTGTTTTATGCTTAAATAAATTTCTGTGTTGTTTCAGCAATTATATGCTCGGCTTCAAAGTTCGTCTTGTAAGGGGCCAATAACATCACAAGCTCACTCAACAGTTTTATGGGTCAAGCATATGGAAATGAAACACGACGAGTACCAGCTTTGTAGCTTCCACTGAAAACTGGAAAATTGACTTCAGTGAACCAGTATAAGGTGCATGGACTGATTTACGGTAGCTATACAACCGATTAACTCAACCATTTGTACCCCAGTCTGTTACGTCTGTAGGGTCGACGAAATGTCACTGAATATCGAATAAATCATCGATCCCTGTCAAGGTCAAGGATAGTCAACGGGCACAAATCAATCATACGCCATGGACTGGCCCACGCTGCAGTGGTTATTCTTTCACTTCTGTACTTCCATAGTTGTACCTTAACTAATATATTCTTGTAATAACGTCCTTTGTGTTGTACAGTCTCCATAGCATCCATTATCATTTGATGCGTCGATGGTTCAATCCACGTAAGGGCTGGTCGCGAGGTGTGACTTCAGCGTTAGTTGGTTCGTCACCATTCTCGTCTAACTCTAGTAGGCCCATAGATAGATCATCAACGTAGATGGTCTACACGTCCAATTACTAGTTTTTGCCCGTTCCAACTATTGAAGTACTGGCAGTCGATATTCGCAAATCACGAACTCAAGTAGGCAAGAGAACCAAAACTACAAATTAGATACCAAGTTTAATCGCAATTCACACATAATCGACCAAAGTTGTTCTAACAACAATAATTATAACAATTATAAAAAACCTTCAATTTTGTAGCTTCCCGGAGCAAAAACTCCCAAATACCAAACCAATGGCAAAAGAAACCCAAATGTCCGAAAAGAATGATATAAACAAACAAGTCCAAAGGTTTAGTAAAACAAACACATCCAAAAACACAGTAAAATTGATATACTGTAAAAAGGTTTTAATCAGCTAAATGTCTTCAGTTTTCCCGTAACACAGACAGCCTCAAGCAAGAAGAAGCACACCCATCTGTGAATAGATTGGGATACTCGACGTTTGCCAAGAAAAAAGAAGAAATGCTGGAACGTCGTCATTGGACTTTGATCAAGACAACGTACTAAAGGTCTAGCTGAGTTATCTACAAACTGGAAGAATTCAATTGTCGCTTCAGTAAATAAAACAGAATCAAGACAACTTCCACCAAACTGCATACCTGTCAGCTTCACCATTGTTTAGTTAATATACGTGAAAAAATAATCAGGAAGGCAATGATAACATTCGTGGAAAGCAACAATTTGTTAAACAGAAAAAAATATGTTTTCAGGGGAGGATTATCTCGCACAACAAACTTTGCTACAGCAATAGAACAATAGACGGAGGCTCTAGATGGTTATCTACGTAGACTTTGACACAGCATTTGATAGGGGTCGAAAAAAGACTACTCTTGAAGCTAGGAAACCTAGGAATCGCCTGACCTCTCCTAAAAGAGATTAGGAATTTCTAGGTAGACAGAAAATAAGAACAACTTTTAAATGCTGCTCCGGGAGACCAGTAATTAGTGTAGTAATGTAGTGTGGTCTACTTATATCCATATAAGTAGTGTGTGGTGATGGTCAGACATAGAATGTATTTTGGCAGAAGACTGATAAGGATAGAACTGAAATGAAGCGCAATAGGTAGGAAAATGCATGAACAGTGAAATTAGAGAAGATGAACTGATATTTACAGAAGTAACAGTGAAGATTGAGATAATTGGTTGCTAGTTTGCTGTATGATGAACATAATTTAGTGAGATAGTCTGTAATTTGTGTCTAAACACATTTGGTTGTCCCCACTCGTGTTATTGTCCACTACAGTACTACAAGGCTATGTCATAGGTCCTTTACGTTTTATACTGTGTGTAGATGAACTATCACTTATAGTTGCGTTCCTGATGCTATTATGAGCTGATGATGTTTAGATCTGGCGAGAAATGACAGGTAACGGAGATGTTCTGACTAGCTGGTCTGACAAATGGCTCATGCTTATGAACACGTCCTCGTGTGTCTACATGCACATTGAGGATACAAAGATATGTAGATACAGTGTAGAGGAAGAATCTGTTTCCTTCGTAGTGACTGGCCTGTCTCGATAAGAACACGCTTGGAATAGTAGAAACAATTATTATTATTGTAACCAATTGTACCAGAGATTGTTTTACTGTACTTGTTTAACTGTATCAGACTCACTTCCGGTTCCTCTATCCGCCTGGTTCGGTTCGAACTTTCTTACGCTCTGCCCGTTTTGCCTGTACTCGTTGGCACGTCTCGGTATTCTTTCGATACCACGAGATCGCCAATAAATATACTTTATCTGGACTAATTAAAGCCTTCTGATTTGCAAGTTATCAAAGGAACCAAGTCGTTTCTGGGCACGTAATCGAATTGTAGTGCTGACCATAGTCCGTCCCCAACTCGACGTCACTACACCCTAATCCGGTCTCACAACAATCTTGGGGAGACAATGAGTCATGATCCTAAGACAACGGCCCATCGCCTGAAGCCCTCA